TCGATTTTCTCACAATCTGTAAGTTTAAGGCAAAAATGTTTCAAACAAAAGTTTTATGGTTTCAAAAGGGAAAGAAGTTGATGACCTTGGTTGACCCTGAGAAGATGTCCTTAAGGTCAAGTCAAGGTTACCTACAATTTTTCAAATGGAACCCCTCATTTTTTATTGCACATATTTATTGCTGTCTTCAAAACCGTTTATACATATTCTCACTATTTAAGAATCAATTAAATACGAGAATCTTTTTCATCGAAATCTATTACTCTAAGCCTCACGAGTAATAATTCTCTCAGTTGATGTTAGACCGAATTACACACCTCTAAAATTTTTGAAAAACAGCTGTTGGTGATCTTGAACCTGACCTTGGACCAAATTAAATTACAGTATGTAACCTGTAAGTTGTCAATGTCATGATTGTGAACAACATTCAAGAGGTTCTAGCCGTCGGTCGGTATTACACTTTAGGTAATACAAGTGCCAACGGTACTGTAAGTTTCAAGCGTCATAATTCGAAAAGTACTTAATGAAAATGAACTTCATCGTAATGTTTTCAAAAGAGGCTTTGAAGACAGTTACAAGAATGTGTAATAAAAAGTGAGAGGTTCCATTAAAAAAATTTTAGATAATCTGATCTTTAAGGACATCTTCTCAGAGTCAACCACTTCTTTCCCCCTTGAAACCATAAAACTTTTGTCTAAAACATTTTTGCCTTAAACTTGGAAATTTTAAGAAAACGACTGGATAAATTAAAAGTGTCCACCCTGTAGTATTATACTTTTCCAATTTATAGCAAATATCATTATACCTGAATGACTATATTTCAAAAATATGACGATAAATATATTTCGATTTCTAATATTTTATTTAAACAAGAAACATGTCGGTATGAGTTACTGAAATATTGAAAAGTAAGATTCACGAATGAGAATTTATAATATAATATTTCTGAGAGAGAGAGAGAGAGAGAGAGAGAGAGAGAGCTAGTTTTTCTAAAATATATTGTCGATTTACAAGTCTATGCTATCGAAGGGAATTGATACGCGGAATAAAGAAGATTCGTATTAGTTACTTTATGTGTATATATATAATATATAGATCCGTGATTTATAGACGTTTTTTCAAGACTTTAGACCTTTTCCTATTCAAACTCACACGATATACCAATACCGAAATTTTTGTTGAGCAACTGTGGCATTTCGATAATTAAATAATAGAACGCTCTCCCAACCTAGTTTCGAGGTCCGATTTCAACAGACGCGTGATTCCGACCGTATCATTTTCGCGAGGTTTCTTTTCGTTCTTCGAGAAGACGGCCTTTTGCCGTGTGGTACCACTCCATTTCCGACGACACAACGCGCCAAAGTGCTTTACGTGTAGATACTGCGTGGAAACACTGGAACTCGATAGGGAATCAGATCTCTCGAGATGTGCTGCACCTCGGCACTTTGCTATACGAGAGTTTTTTTCGTCCCTCTTACCACCTCGTCGGGTAAAATATATAAATATATACCATATATGTATACACATGCGCATGTGTGTGTGTGTGTGTGTGTGTGTCTACGCCAAGCTGTTTCTTCGTCGGATAACGTAGATCCTTATACCCTTGCTAGAGAGCAAGCAACCCTCGGCCATTCCCGAGCCAGCACGGAGCTTGCGGCGGTGGCGGAAAAATGTGCGACGTAGAGAAAGGCACTGGGCGTTCCAAGTTTCTTTATTAGATCCTGGATGTCCATTCGCCGGAAATGGGCCGAAACCTCCGCCTCGCGCTTTCTTCTGTGCGACGATTTTCTTTTACGTTTCCCTCCCAACGTGTCGCCACGCTCACGTTTAACCGGAAATGCAAAGACGAGACAGCAGGGCGCGAGGAATAAGAAACACTATTGTAGGCACAATAAAGGATGAAAGTGAGATTCTCGCGGCAGTTTGCTTCGCGGAAGTTAAGCGAAAGGTCGCGCATTTTTCCATCGTCATCGAGCTGTCGCCGTCCTGTATCACTTTTTGATACGATGTGTGTTTCTCCTCTCTTCGATATAATATTTCGCTCATGGATAGAACGCATTTGCGCAAGGTGACGCGACAAAATTCGCGTCGAGCTACATTCCAATACCTGATGAGAGTAGAGAGAGAGAGAGAGAGAGAGTAACATCTGGCAGTAGGAAAATCACTAGAAATAAATAAGGTATTGTATAGAGTAATCTGTACTGATAACATGATAACTCGATGCAAAAGCTAAAGTAGCTATCAAGTACTGGAAAAATTTAAGCTTTGTGAGATTTTCTGCGTGAAAGAATTTTTTCAGATCATTATATCTGATTATTGAAAATTAAATTTTTTTTGCAGAAAAAATAGTCGAATGCGCATATCGTTGGAAGAATAATAAGTTCCTGCTACTTGCATACATCTCGCTCGCGACATCTTGTATAGCTTCTAAAGGACGAACGGTCCAAAAATAATGTGATACATTCTCTGCGCTTGGCTTCTTTCCGTTATATGTCACGAACGAGGGAGGACAGGAAATGTTTTTCTTCGGTATTGGCGTGTGTGAGGGAGGATCTTCGCCTGTCACCGGCGACACGTGCGCTTTCTTCTTCTTTGTCGATATTTATTTTACCGTGGTCTCGCGTTTCTCAAGCGAGCACGGTGAGAAGAGGTCCTTCTGTGGTTTCGCACAATTCTTCGTACGGCACACAGCGGAAGTGTCCTGGAAGATTTAGGATAACTTTAAAGCCATTTCATTCTAGGGATCGGAAAAGTGCCATTTCTATGCTAACAAGAGCCCTTTCAATTACTTTACTCGGTACGCGACCTTTATCAAATCATCCCTGTTGGCCTTTCCAACTCCTTTCTCTTGGCTTGATTTCTCTATTTTGCATAATCGAAGACGGTCGCTTCGCATATTTTGCAAGTTTATCCTCACGATAAACGAATTCCTTTTAGCGAAAAATTTTAAGACCATTTTCGTTATTTACCATATATAAACATTGTCTCAAATTGAGAAAATATTTTTCTGACTGTAAATTGATTTTGCTATCGGACTCTTTAAGCAGTTTTTTTTTAATTTTTTTAAGCTTAATTATAAATTATTTAGCACTTAAATAATAATCCCCAACTTTCACTCTGCCTATGTTCATCCATAGGAAGAAATAACGGGCTATATGTGCAACTATACCATTTTGCGCTTGCTGAATTGCTTCCTTTGAGATGTACGGTAAAGTTTCTTTTAATTTGTGATCATAATGCACAGTTGCTACTTTCATCGACGATTGCACTCGACGTATATATATATGTATGGGCGTGCTCATTTTTTCCGTAGCCTATAAAGCCATAACGTTCCGGCAATACCGAGGGGATCCTGAAATTTACGGTAGTTTTATGGGGATTTTTATCGTTGTGTAAACTATGCGATATCCCCCTATATATCCGTTTCCGTTCTTACGGATAGCTGCGACCTTTATCCCCCTCCATGAAACCAAGTTGGCTCTTTCGAGAAGATGAATTTTGATAAATCGTTCGGTCGTCGCGTAGTCGTTAAATAACGTTTACTTTGCACCGTGTCGCGCGGCCATCGTGCACTGAATTTACTACGCTCGCGTAAACATACGTGCTGCGCGACTCTACACGTGTGTCGTTTTATGCTCGCTCGTATGTCGCCAGTTTATCTGCTTTTCTTACGGCTAAGGTGGAAAAAAGGACTTCCGCCCTACGGTGGAAATCAGGTTGCGCGATGCGACACAACGACGCGATAGAATCCTGACACGTACCGAGAACTTGCGACTGTTTTTACACATTTTCATTCTCGCACCGTCACGTCGTAAATTCTTCCGGTTGAAACTTCAATTCAGGATACCAGCGATCGAGAAATAGAAATGATGCGCGTTTGACTCCTCATTGTCATAAATAACACAATTGATAACATGACAATATACGATTTTATCATCCGCATTTTTGTCGAGTTGAATTTTTTAAACGATTCAACAGTCAAATTTTGGGTAATTTTACACATCAGTCGTACAATTGTTACGTTATGATTTCAAAGATTAATTCTTACACAGTTTTTACAAATTGAAAGTAGAAATTTTTATTGTAAATATTTATTTCAATTTTTATTATAGATATTTATTTCAATCCATTTCTTATTGTTAAATTTTTTTAAATTAAATTTTACTAACGTTAAGTATCGACGTATTGCCTATATTGTCTGTTTATCTGAAAATTAAAAGTGGCCTTTTACGCTTGGTCAGTGATGTATACCCTGTATGATTGGGGAACTAGACTTAAAATTAACTCACTTTAAAATGATTCAATAAATGCTCATAAAAAGAGGAATTTATTTTAATTGGATCTCTGACAAACGTATCCGCAACGTTTGCGGACTTTATCGCTACGACTTTAGGCATCGTTAAATTGCCTGTGGAATTGCCGGATCGACCGGAGTGTCTTCGCAGGGGCGGCTTCGGATTCAGTGGAAATGAAGTTCGGATGCAACGAATGTCGCACCGATAACTGGCGGCCGCTGTCGCGAGTTTCCCGAGATGGGTGGAGGGCTATGCTCGGCAGCCGAGAAGGAATAGACGAGGAGGGTGAAAGTTACCCTCCGAAACTCCACCACTTCTGCGGCTAACAGTTTCCCCGAACTTTGACAATCTATATCGCTTACAGTCCGTGTCTCGACACCTGGCTACCTCGGCAGAAAACTTGAGGGACTCGGTGGCACTGCACAATCTCTTCGATTTTTTTCTCTCGATGCTCCTCTCGAAGAAATCGCGTTATTATCGCAACTTGTCGCGTATTCTATAGCGCTTAACACGAGCATAACTTGTAGTAACTTTCCCTTTTTATTCATTGCGCACTCGTGTTGTTTTGGGAAAAAGAGTAGTAGTCATGTAATATAAGCTGCGTTTGTTAAATTTATCAATATTAATGTTGCTTTTTCTTCTTTTCAAAGAGTAAGCGAAAAAATCCTTTTTTGAGCCCTCGCTTTTCGAATTGAACTGTATGTCAAGTTTTATCTTATATTGAGACATTAATCACAGAGAAGTTTCAAGTTGAGGTGACAATTATTATCAGAGCTGGTAGGGGTAGAATCAAAGTCCATTATCGAATTATGATAGGTCTGCGAGATCCGGTATTTTAAGAAGGTTGATGCATATCAATTGCCCATATCGCTAATTGGCTATAATTTAAAATAATATTGTAAAAGAATAATATGGCTCAATTAAAATAAAACTAAATAATATAATCTTATTGGTAATGCAGTTAAAAATGACTAGGAATCGGCCGATGTGAGTGATGTGTGCAATTGAACTGTGTGCAAGTGCGTCGCTCCCGATTTAACATGATCATTTCCGATGAAGGCAAGATCAACTGAACATCATACTTATTCTGGTGATTTTGTAAATTAATTTGTTTTGAATATAAAAAAAAAACGGATTTTCGCATACTCGTAGACGTAATACGTGAACTTCGCCTCCAGCTATAATAATAAATGTTACGTCAAACTAAAACTTCTTTGTAATTAATATCTCATTGTAGAATAGGATAATAGGATACCATTTGACACACAGTAGTTTAGTTCAAAAATTGAAGGCCCAAAAAACGGATTAAAAAACTGCCTTTTTTCAGTCACTCTTTATATGTATTTTATAATTACGGAAACAGCTTTAGAATGTCAAACATGTTTAGTCTTGATTGTTTAGTAAGAAAATTAGTATGTGTCTTCAAGTTTTCAGTTAATCAAATAGGCACCGGAAAAAGATTTCGCTGAACTGAATAAGAAAAATCATTGTTTCTTGAACTGTCACCTGCGACGTATCCATTTTCGTAAGCTAAGTTTGTGAAAATGTTTATATCTTTTTCGAAAGCGGTATTCATAGTGCATTATTATTTCAAGATCACGTTCTAAGTAATGTCTTAAGATGTTAGTATCGATTCTCTGATTGGTTTATATGACATCTTAAGGCTGTATTTAAGATGTCTTAAATACATGTAAGAATTGACTTTGAATATCGGCCCGAAAACGAGAGACGTTCCTTTTCCCAGTTTTCATCTCGACGCGAGAGAGGACGTTACTGTTGTTACATTCAGTATCCCGCTCGAGGTATTACATCAGCGAAGTGTATTAATGTCCTTACCTTAGGACGGAGCACTTGAACGGAACGTTCACGATTTTTCCTTTTCGCAGCGCAGTGCCGTGAAAAATCCCGTTCCTATTACATTTCGATGCACGCTCGATTCAATGCGTTGCGACGACGAGCGCCGTTAATATCCCTGCTTTTATATATTGAATCGACAAAGCGCTATTCGCTCAATTTTTCTCTCAAATATAACGCCGTTTGTATTTCGCGATAAGAAAGTTCTCGGCGAGTATATTCTTTGTGTAACGTTGTAACCCCGGGGTGTGATAACCTTGCAGCTGTGACATACCTGTAATACATTTAAAGATTTTGCGTCAGCTTGAACAAAATATGATTTTCTGGATTAGCCTTTTCAAAAACAGGGAGATTACATCTTTCTTAAAAATAAGTAGCAAAATTTCTTTTTATTTTAAGAAAAATATTTTGTGATGTAGTCTTCCGTTTTTACATTGTTACAGATATTTTAGAAATTTTTTCGTTATTTGCAAGTGTGGATGATAATAATTGCCGCAACAAATATGGCATTTCGCTTTTAATTTAATTTTATTAATGATCGAATAAGCTAGGCGTTGCTAGTGACAACTATTACATAAAAAATATAATAAAATATGCTGTAAAACAATATTTATTTTCTGGCTAACTGTCAATAAATATCGGACTTTGTTAGGAAATAAATAGTCGTACTTATATAAGTAGACATAAACTACTTTTATTTTTAAACTTATTTTTCAAAACTATAGAGATGAAACGAGTTCTTTTTATAATATATACTTGAGTTAAATTTTTTGACAATGATTTATGCTGCTAAGTTACGCCCGTAAAATAAATAGTTTATTTAAAAACAGTGTTATTGAAAGGGCTATTTTATTATTAGTGATACACACAAGGAAGGTGGATGTTAGAACCTGAAGTTTATAGCAATTTGAAAAATCTAATGTCTTCTTCTTTTATTAGTAAATTAAATTAAAATAGTCAATAATTTCAGAGAAAACAAGGCTATAAGATAAACGCGATGTAGACATTTCTGTTAAATTAAAATACCTATAATTAAAACAGAGTAATCAATTTTATCGTAAAAGCATAATATAACTTTATTAGGATATTATTGATAATAGATATATGGATATATCCTAGCAACAAATTTCCGATAACATTGTCTATTGTAAATCGTGATACAATCATGTATGCGATGAATTGCTGGAATTGGCCAATCTTATTTCTATCTACAGGACGTTTCTTCGTTGGAAGCGTTAGGTAATGCAGGTCGCGTATATACTATCATTGAGCCGAATGGCAGAACAGGCCAGAAATAGGGGACCATTCTAGAATCATGCTAGATATCGCCCGTCCAATCGTATTCTCCACGCTCGCTTATCCTATTGCGTTTTGTCCCATCCTAACCGATCCTGCAGCCCCCGTTTCTATCCAGCATTCATCGAGCGCGTGTAATATCCGCGGGCAATGGCGCAGTCTCTCGGAGAGGTGCAGATATTTGAGTTCGAATATGCGATTTTTGTTGGAAAGTACGAAAAAATCCATATGCCAAAGAAATGGTTTGAGCGACAAAGAATTTGTTCTTCAAACGTGTTATGTCGTTTTAAAGAATACTACAAGAAGAATAGAGGTTTGAAAAGCTGCTCAAATATATATTATTATACGTTGTAAATATAGTACGTTTCTTATGGCAGTCGCAAAAAGTTCTGTGAGAGATTTTTAACCTGGCGTCATTGTGGTGCTAAAATGTTAGTTAAAATCTACTAGAAGTATGTAAGAAAATACAGATGTTTAAAAATGTCTCATTATGAGCCGGCCGCAATGACGTCGGGTTAATACGTGATGAATTAATATTTAGGTGAATTCACACCACGTTTACTTTTGAATTATCAGATTTTCCCTTGAATCTTCCGGTTCAACAAACCTTTAGTTTTTCAACAAATAGTTTTTTTTACTAAAAAATTTGATTAATTAATTCCTCGAAAGTAGCGCGCATGAAGTAGAATTCACAAGTTGAGCCTAGATCGTCGAATTCAAGAATTACTACTCGGAAATTGGCACAATATTCACAAGGGTGAAACAATATTTAACGAACGTCATGGCCATCCTCGAAGGTGTAGCGGCAGAATACCTTCGAGCAAGGATTTGCGATCTCTGAATTTAATTTCAACGATCGCCTTACACACGGAACAGTGATATACGAGCGTGTTGCTGGCCGCTGCGCGACGTTATGCGGACACTCACCTCTGCTCGAGTTTATTTGGCACGAGGCCAGTGTTCGATCCGATTCGGTCGGGTCCTATTCACGATCGGCCGCACAGCGGCTGCATTTTCGGACAATCCAATGGTGAAACCCTCCGCTGTACATCTTCCGTTTGGTCCGGTTCTTCTTCCTGGATACGTCCCGCGTATTATTTGCTTATTTCGTTCTCCGCACACGTCGAGCCCGCCAGAGCCATTTCCGGCATGTGTGTCTCCTGCTAGTCCTGCTCCTACCTCCGGTAGGAGTACAGAGAGTATCGACGGGGATGTCGATGCAACCCGGTACGTATTTCTGAAGAGATAGGGAAGAAAAGCAAGAGAAACTCTGCTTTCGCGCTGTGCTTTCCGTTGCTCCTTGCTTGTGCATTGGCTTATCTACGATTCCGCGTTTGCATCCAAGTGCTAGCAAAGCTAGCTGAGCGAGTCAATGTATGTATATACATGTGTGTATAAACACGGCAGGGAACGTCGTAATGCACAAAAGAGTAGAAAAGTTAGGGAAACAGCGTCCACGATGCCGTTTGCATTGCCTATATCAGGATCGTATATTTCGCAAGATAACGGAATAAATTTAAATTTGTAAGAATAGCGATGGGAAATTTTTTGAGTCTAGAGTGCATTTAGTACATACAACCACTCAATCAGCGGCGTACCAAGTAGTCGAACCAATGTAATTGATTCCTACCTTTAGATCCAGTCACATTGACTTATTTGAACGTTTCAAGTAGTTATTATATACCGCGTGTACATTTGTCCCATCTGTTTTCCGCTCGAACCTGATTACGATTTATTTCCCAAAAGTCGTATCGCGTAACCGTAACTAACAATTGTAATGAAAGCAAATGATGGCAGGCCGTGTTCTGATATACATTGCTAGTATTATTGAATCTATAGTTGACGTATACCGGCAGTATACCGTATATCGAAACACGGGCATAAAAGAAGACAAGACAAGTCTGTCTTTATCGCAAGCTGGAGAATTTATGGGGAGTTTACCGCGCTGTCGGCCGAGATTTAATCGCTTTTCTCCGGGTCCTTGCAGAAAAAGAGAAGAAATCATGTGATAAAAAGTATCCTTGTGGAATTTCCATGGAAGAACATGGGGGTTGGGGGAGAGGGGCACAAATACGCGAGATGCTCTGGCGGATTGGTAGGAATCGAAGAGAAATCCAATAATGCGACGTAGCGTGTTCTTAGCGAATTTACGTACGCGTCCGTGCACACGCGTACATTCACGCGAACACGTTTTGTCGTGTTGGTTGTGAAATTTTCCTCCGATGCTCTGAAAACGAACTAATTTATTTCGCCAATATCCTTTTATATACGGCGCGCGCGCTATTTTTCCAATTAACTCGGCTTATTGCATGTAAAATGCACGTTTGATGTCGCCGGTTTCACAAACACACTTGTACGCATCATCCGCTGTGCACGCGTGTGCGTGTGCGTGGATGGTTCCCTACGACGAGAGACGACGTCTTTTATATATTGCATAGCCAATTCATCCCCGATTTATCGCGGATCTTTCGCCCCACGGGCAAACAAATTTTCATAAGGTACCAATCATCGGTTAGTTTGTCCCGCTCTCGCGTTTCTCTGCCGCACTGTCGCATCGTCGGGGCTGGCGAAGGGGGTGAGTGAACGAAGAGGAAGGGATGAAGAGGTAGAGAGTTATCCGATAAACCTCGTGCAATAACACGACGAAGGCACCGACGGCGAGCCGATATCTATGGATTACGGGCATCGCGTATATACTTTGCGTTACTACGTGCGCGTGTTCGTCCAGTCTCAGCGTGCGCACGTGCGCACGTGCGCGTGATTCACGCACACGAACCCGCGGCGTTTGCGTTCTCTCTCTCTCCTCCCCCCCCCCCCCCCCCCCCCGGCCAAAAAACGTATATCCCGAGGAGTTATGAGGCGACGGCCATCTTTAGATATCCTTCCTTCCTTACCCTCCATCCGCCTTTCCTTCCTTCTTCCGTTCTTGCCGTCACCTCAGCAAGAGGGCCCCGGGGCTTCCAGCGGGGAAACGAGGTCGTACCGCCGCGCCGAGTCCTTCCGCCATAACATTTTCTATCGTTGAGAGCCATACATCATCACCGTGTCCGACGAGAAACGGGCGCTTCTAAGTGCCTTGAATCGACCTTCGTGCCGAGATCCTTTTATTCCGGACTCGACCAGGTTTTATCACAGGCCTCCTCCACTTTGCGCTTGTCTCCGATCTTGTTTGGTCATCTTTTCGCATATGGTTCGGTGAACATCTTCGTGAGAGATTATTCCTTTTTCTTAAACTTGAAATCTTAACTAAATTTGTAGAAAGAATCATGTCAATTTTGAATACAAAATTAGCTAATATCAAAACCCCGAATGGAAACGAAATATTCGATAACATTAAATTTCAATACAAATAGAGTAAATAGGTAAATTAAGCGCGTTTGACATTTATGATAACATTTCGCAAGGAGAAAGATTATAGATTTTAATGATTAGAGCGAATCGGGAAAAAGGATGATAATCGATGGAAAATTTGGATTAGAGGAATGCGTTTGATATATTTCATACGTTACATACTTGGTAGAACTAAGTGATGGGTGATTAATTCGTAACACTAATTACTACGAGCTATTGTAATTCAATTACCGTAATCTCATCGCGGTAATTGAACAGTTAATTAAATCAATTTAAAATTCCGAACATTCATCACGGAGGAGAATTACTAGATTTGTTATGGAAGATGCGAGTCAAGTGGTAACGTTGAGAACGAGGCAACGATCTCCTTGCACATTTTTACGAGGAGTAGCAACAGCAGCAGAGAAAAGGTACGCTTTCGGGGACAGGATTAACCTTCTCGCATCTCGAGGTAATACCTGCCTATTACTTCCTCTTCTCGCAACAGTGACGACGACGACGACGACGAGATTCGCGTGGCCAAGTTGGTTCGCGGAAGAAAGGAACGGCTGAGCGGGCTAAAGGACGGCAAAATTGAATTCTGCCGCTGCGTCTCGAGGAAAGTGCAGACGTAAGGAGAACGTGCCACTCCTGCGAGTAATTGACGCTGATTAAAATTCCATGGAGAAGAGCCGTCCACCCACGCGCTTATCTCCGCCCCCTTTCTCCATAACGTACGTGTTGGGCCGGAAAAGCCGATGCCCGTCCACTCTTCGAAACACAATTACGCTCCCCCTTTCGGCCTCCATGTTGTCTTCGCGTTTCTTCCCGTGCCATACATTGTACTTTGCCACGACGTGTTACAATGTCTTGGGGGATTCATTAGTAGGGATTTATGGACCAAGTCATTTCCTATTTGTACCGTGATTTCATTGTTACGGCTTTCCCAATGTTATCGAATTCTCCCATTGCCGATCTTGTGTTGATTCTAAGCGATAATGATATATGGATAACGAGAAGATATTTCAGATGCGGTGAATATCGGAAAGTATCAATACTAAAAGTATTAAAAATACACGCTAGAAGATTATCCATCATTTAAATATTACACTTGTTGATCGAAAATTTTGTTCATATTTATTAAATCTGAATGGATGTCATGGCCTTGCGACTAATTGCTGGTATTGTTCAGCTCTATTGATTTGCCGTTATTAAATCTGTTCATCAAGTACCGTCCAGAGGACACGTGATGTTACATAATCGTCAGACCACGCATTCTCCAATTAATGGCGTTTTGTTAGATATGTCCGATGTGCCGTTTATCTTGAGCCATCCCGTGCCATATGTATGTATCAATAAACGATGATTGTGCCGCCTAATAGATAGTCAGATCCATGCATAACTCATGTGCTTTCCATTAGGTTTGCTAGAATTACTGAAATGCAGTTGCACACATATGCATATACTTGAAATGGTATCTTTGATAAACATTTCACAAAGTGTTACTAATTTAATAAATTGAATTATATTTTTATTATATAAAAATAAGGAAAATATATAATTTTCCTTATCCGTTTTTAATTGCATTAGTTATTTCCGACTTATTAAATCTAACGTTTGTCTATTGATATATACGATTTTGATCTTAAATACTTTCTATAGAAAAATACATTTCGTAATTAATCTTGGAAAAATTTTATAAAGCTTGAGTAATTTTGAATAGTCGGCGTTAAAGACTTAAGTCTTACTGAACCTTACGCGTAACTATCTTTCTTTAAATAAAACCAGATCAGATTACCGGCTTACGGAATAAAAAGTATACCAGGATAAGAGCTTAACAATGCACAATGCACGTACCCTTTTTATTGGAGTGTTTAACAGCATAAAGCTTTTTTTTTGTTGCGACGCGGCGTAATTTACTGCAGTCCAGAGATGAATCCTGTTTTTTACTTAGGCGCGAATAAATACGCGAAGACGACTTGCGAGGTGGGTTATCTTCCTCGAAAAAGTAATCTGTCCGTTATGGCATTCTCCCATTCTTTTTCCACCCCTCGACACTTCATCCTGGCGCGACCGTTATATGCATAGGTAACAAGTGCATTATACGGGGTAAAATCCGCGATGCATAATGTATCCAGTGTATCTGTGCCAACCACCGTCACGTACACTTATTCGTACGTGTTCATACATATTGTGCTCCGACGTCCGCCAGTAGGCGCATAGTTATGCGCTCGGTGTGCGTGCATAGGTACTCTTATAATGGGACCGTCTACCACACAGCACACTTCGCAGTTAATGCACAGACGCACTTTTGCACGCCTCGCATCTTCTTACATTCACGAAGACGTTGCGCATCGCTCACCTCGCTTATCTCTTCTCCTTATTTCCCCTTCGTGCCCACAAATCACTCGGCGCATTCGAATACGTCACGTTCGCCGAAGTTATCTCATGGGAATGCATGACTTTCTAGAACATTTGCGAATGCACAAACTTGTTTTGCACGGTCGCGATTATCTCATGTAGCTGGGAAGCGAAAGAGATGTGTGTAGTATCGTGTCGTCAATGTATTATTTATACATTTTTAGTACATTGGAAATGTATATTGGAAGATTTAAAACAAAATTGAGATGAGTACAAAATCCTTTTTATCCCATATTCGTTTTGAGAGCTCCTAATAAATATTTAAACCTATAAAATATTAAGTATCAGAATAATTAGAGGATTCCTGAACCCTTAAATTATGCTAATAATCTTATTTTATAAATTTAAATATTAGTATTTATTAAATCATATCAATTGTTATATAAAATTTACATCACTCAAATGAATATTATATATATATTAACCTATATTACGACTTAAATTTATTCAGAGCTATATTTTCAAGTAGGAGGTAACATATATGTTTGTAAATATTAATATAGAAATTCTAACAAAATTAATTCCTTATTCAAATGTACCCCTGATATCATAACGAATTTTTTTTTTCCTTTTTTTTCTTGTTGAGATCATGGCCGTATTGTTGGTGTGTTCCTTCTATTGTCATAACCGAAAATCGATATTGTCTGCGGTGGATTTTTTTGTCCATTTGTTTTTGTCGGGACATTACACCACTGTGCATGAAAGGGAAAGAGAATAGCTTTGGTCGAAGAATAGGTTCTGATTCTGTTCCTGCTGAAAACGGAGGTGCTGACGACGCCATTTGTCCATCCCTCGTAACTACTACGTGTAAGTGTGCTCGTACGTACAAACCTATACACTTGTAGTTGACATCCACGAAAGTCTCTCACAGTGAGATCATTTCTTTCCGTTTCCCAATTTCTCCTTTAGCTGCAGCAAATGTACCACGTTAATGCAAACATTTGATTTCCGTTATTCCGTCTACTTGTATAATAAGATTTTATTACACTAATATTCTCTATATTATTACAGCCACTTTAATTATTTAATACTTAACTTTTGCAAACTTAGTGTCGCTAGATTATAATTTTGTCCCATTAAAACTGAAAAATTGATCTTTAGCTTCAAACATTCTATAATCACGTAGAAAAAATTTGAATTTTCTTTTATTAAGTGTAGGAAATTTAGTTTGAAGAGATAAAAAGAATGATTAGACTTAAAATATAAATTTTTCCAAAAAATCTTTATCTATTTTATAAAATATTATTTTATTTAAGATTTTATAAAAAAAATACAATAATATAATTTATATAATAAAAACATTCCCTAGTTGATTCGCGCCCCGAGCGCTGATGTCCCCACACAATTCTTGATTTCGTATCGTATAGACAAGAATTGCGTTTGGACAATCATAGCCTGAGACATTCGACTGTTTCGCCATTTACGTCGCTGAACATCCTTAAAAATGTAGCAAAGTAGTTTTTGTTGACCAGGTATTCTGAAAAAGTTTTTTCACATTAATAAAAAGATTGTTACGGTTATTGAAAGTTAAATACATATATATATATAATATATGTATATGTAATATATATATATATGTAATATAAATATATTTATTGTACTTACTTTATTATCGGATCCTATTTGGCTGTAATGCTGATGATATTTATTATATTGCTTTTTTGTAATCTTAATATGCTTTTAGCACATTTTCTGTCAAAGCAATTTATTTTGTGTGAATATGAGCGGGAAAAATTATTGATATCTTGAGTAGTAATCGTGAGATACAGGATAAAATCGACACATTGAAAAAAGTTGGCCTATATCCGCCGTCTAATATCAATATTTCCGCAATACGTAATTATATTACATCGCCTTATTCAATCTTGATCAATCAACCGCTATTCAAAGTAAATTAGGGAAGAAGGAAGGACTGCTTCAAAGGATCTATCGCTTCTTCGATCGTTCCTATTTTACCCTGTCATTTGACAGGGACAATTTGATATGACAGAATGGGTCATTTTACAAATATACGCCTTGACAATGATATATTGCTGTCTTAGATGCTTATAAAAAGTAATTAGCTATATTAAAAAAGAATTGCGAAATGTTATGTAAATTCGTTTACTGATTTGTATTTTATTGAATTAATGTTGGTACATCTAGTAATATTTAATCAATTGTTATAGAGTTCATATTCATTAGATGACACATTACATAATACTGAACAATGTCCGTTGAAATTAAATTATGCGCTAGTTTAATTATGTCGGGCAACTGTAAAGAGCACTTAATAATTCCTATGTTTTATACTCTCACTAAAATATGTTTCGGTACTGTTTGCATCATGTATTTTCAGAGAGAATAATTTTACACAATCATATAAGTTTGTTACAAATTGTATCTTGTCCTTTCTTGTATTTTCCATATCTCATCTTCTGCAATCTTTATGGATTTTATATTACAGATAAATCAGCGCAAGTAATATTTGCTTTGTGCGAATTATTGCACTTTACCTTCCTCAGCGAGCTGGAAACAATAGGAAATCTGAATGAAACAAAAAATACAAAAATGACAAAGATAAAACAGATTTCAGTTGATTCAATGGAATTGGAACAAAAAGATATAAATAGGACAGCTGCATCGACGCGACGTAACGAAATCGAGATGGATAGATTGATAATAGATAAGGAGGTGGGGGAGGGAAAGATGTAGCGTTGAAGAAAGGTAGAAGGAAGTGTGGGAAAGAGAGGGAGGAGAGAGAGAGAGAGAGAGAGAGAGAGAGAGAGAGAGAGAGAGAGAGAGAGAGAATCGAATGATTGGATTAGCCGCCTCGGCTCTAACTTCGTTACTCGCCAAATGAACAGACAAAACCCAACCACCCTTTACCCATCCCTTTATATCTGCCATCACCTCTCACCTCTCTTAGTCGTATATACAGAGTAAGGTAAAGTAATTTCGTATTAATTTCAATATATTTTAAATGTTTGCTAAATGAAATATAATGTATGAGATCATGAGTATTAAAAGAAAAAGTCATCATAATCATTAAGAGAAAAAGAGGACACTTATATTACAGTAAAAACCAAAATTTTACGAGACAAAATAATTTTGTACTCATTTGTGTGCGAACATATGAAAAATCATAAAGTTATCTATGTCATGAAAATATTCTACCCTATACGTAGCATAGATCACGCTCACACTTTTACACTTTATTCCGATCAAAGATGATGCTAGTTCAAAGATGGTATAAGTTTTGAGGTCACCGGTTCAATCAATTTCACTTCATCCCCTTTCACAAGGAAGGCGATGACGACGACGACGACGACCATGTCGATGATGACGATGGTACGTCTCTAATGGTACTAGGTTCATGGAAAAATTCTTACGATGAAGAGAGCTTCTCGGTCGGGAGAACATAAAAATAGTTATATTTGTCAGTAGACACGTGGCCGGTGGTGGCGGCTTGAATTGCTCTCCCCGAACTTGATTAGGGTAATTTCATCCTGGCTGAAAGCGATCGTTAGCGGTTTTTACGAACGCAAATTACAGGAAGCTAATTTGGATTCTGCTGGGGTATAATTGCGGCACCGTATGTTGCTTTTGCGAAATGTGTGCTTTTACTGAAAAAATATTTTAGTTTTGTACTATAAAAATAATATATACTGTAATACGTGATACTACTATATACACCCTTACGGAAATGGACTGTTGGTGAAACTATTTGATTATTCAGTCGTAGTTTGTTCGCGAATTGAGAAGAGCTACTATTAGATTGGGAAAACTGTTCAGATAATTATTGGAAAAATTAATTAATTTAGTGTTACTGCTAAAATAAATATTAGTGTTTAACATCATATTTTAGAATATACACGACAAAATTATGATAAAAAAAAGATTTCCTCCTGAAATCGGGATCTATTATAATTTCATGATGCTCTCCAGCTGTCACCCATCTAAATCTGTACCTCATCTAGTGTTGCTTGACCTCTGCAATCGTATGAGAACTGCTTCTTCGATGACCCACGAATCCTGAATGTTTATAGATGTATAACTGTGACATATCTGGTCAATAGATATTGTCAAAAAGCTCACGTATATAGCTAAAATATACGTGAGTATTTAGTTTCATAAACGAATTAAAAAAATTTTAGTTTAATTTGTCCAACGAATAGTTGGACTACAAGGATGATTATTGCAAACACTTTGATTACTGATATGGCATTATAGTCTCTTAATTATAGATTTAATGACTTATAATTAGGCGCAGTTTATTTAAATAGTCATTATTAAAATAGTGTGCTGTAGTGATCAATACGGATAATCTGATTAGAAAATTAATAATTACTTAGTCAAAAACTATTGGGGAATGATTATTTTAAATAATCTGATTAGGGAATCGATAATCACCCTTTGTCGAAAGCTATTGGGAAATGATTATTGCAAATAATCCGACTAGTGGAATCAATAATGACTCCGTTAAAAACTTGAGTAGTGATCATTGTAAACAATCTGATTATTGGATAATAAATACTCACTATTAAAGAGCGAATAATTACTATTAAAATCTAATGGTGATTATTGGTTTTCCAATTGTTTATTTCCGTAAGGGCAAGTCTCTAAAAAAAACGTCAATGAATATAACGTTATTGTAACATAATAAATGCTAATATATTATACACATGTATGAAAAAGAAATATATTCTTATAAAGAAATACGATGTGTGTGTGTGTGTGTGTGTGTGTGTGTGTGTACTTGTCGTTAGTACAAATTTAATCTGGGGACTCTATGGTTCATTTTATACTTGAGATAACTTGGTAATTACGGTCTAAATTAAATCTTTGTAGGAAAATATCTCTACCCCCAATGAACGGAAAAATGAGGTTTATCCTTCTATTCTTCAGAAACTTAATTTAAAAGTCTTGAGTTTTTGATGTTGGATAACTGGATAATCAAGCTTTAGCTTAAATTTTCACCGCTAAGAAAGCAGTGAATGTAAATTAGTTGAAGAAAAAAGTTCTGGTACTAATATGCGGTTCTTGAAACTCTGTACACATCACTTGAAAAGATTTATAAGAGGGAACAGAAATTGGAAGTAACTTGCGCTTTTATTTACTACGCAATAAAATTACCGTGTGATATCCCGGAAGCTATTGCATCAATTTACGCGTTTATACGAATTTTATAATCTGCATTTTTGCGTTTCACTGTTTGTTACTATTGTATACAAACATAGATCGAGGGATTGTGCGCTCGTTTTGTTCAATAACGGAGATTAAACACGGAAATTTTAATTACACGGAAACCCATTCCACCAGAATAATCGTTTCCGCACTCGTGAGAAGTTAAACGCGCACATACGCGTCCAAACAGAGAGACCTGTCCGTAATAAATTCGTTTATCCCCCTCTATCCGGTCGACGGCGCGGCGCGGCGGGCTCTCACTTTTATATGATGTCGAGGCGTAAAGAGAGAAACGTTCCCATTTAAGCGAAGCTTTTCAATTATAAAGTATTTCCCTTTCCACGAGAGCGGGCCTCCACAGCCACGCTTCAATTCCCTCGTCTCCTTCGTTTTCCAGCACCTTCAGCGACCCTGATATCCCTTCCTCCCCTTCACACCCTCATCCCTCATTCCTCTCTCGTTCTCTTTTCTCGTCCTTTTCTACCAAAACCGAATGCGCATACCGCGGCTTGCCAGAAACGCCGCAACGTTCTCACTTCCGGTTACATGACGTTTTCAAAAGGGGAAGATGACGCCTCCTCTTCGTCCTGAAAAATCGACCAGAAACGATTCCGCGCTTTTTCCTCCTTTCGCCACATTCTATTCTCCTCTCGTTTTCCTCGATCGATCTCTCGTTTCTCTCGCATCGTTTCTTCCTTTCTTCCGCTCGCCCCTTTCCGCTCTCCTGCCGTAACTCCTGCACGCATTTTCTCTATCTCCGCGTCTTTATCCCGAAAGATGTCTCCTTCGTTATCGGGAATGTCGGCGCGAGTTCAAGTGGAATTTCGCGCAGGGCCGCGAACGATGTCACTTCCACTTGAGATGCTTGACAATATCGGACACTGGGATCGCTGATGGAGCACGACAAAGTAGACAATTCTTATAAATTGTCGAGGATCAGAAGGGAACAGATTCACAGAATAGGTTCGTATAGTGAAGAAATATTTAACAAGATCTGTTTTCGGAAAGATAATACGAAGTGACACTTGTCACCATCTAATGTTCAAACTTGAAAAATGAAACATATGGCAATGCTTTTCGCGATCCGAGAATATAATAACACCTTCAAGAATAACACCTTTTTTTTTATACCAAATTTTTTTATATTTTTACTTTTATGTTG